GGCGCTGTTGTGTACACGCGCGCTGTGGTGCACGCGAGCATTGTGGTGTACACACAGATCGCCACCTACATGCCGCTTGCGTCGTCGTCGTCGTCGTCGTCGTCGTCGTCGTCGTCGCTCGTCGCTCGTCCCTCGTCGCTCGTCGCTTGTCGCTCATCGTTGTCGTGCGCGCGGGCGCGGCTGTGGTGCCGGAGCCACACGGCTGGGGGGGGCGTTACGCCATACCCCCCCCCCCGCCTCACCCCCCTATGACGCCCGTCATCGCCGAAAAAAAAAACGCGCTCCAGAAAGGGGGGATGAAGAGTCCCCATTGCCGCCGCGGCTGGGCGCTGCTCGAAAGAGTGGTCCGTTTCGACCCTGGGAGGGGTGCAGGGACCGATTTTGAGCGGATTTACCCCCGTCCCCCATCCAGCGCAGACCCCCTGGCCGCTTCCAAGGCGAAGGCACCATTTGGCTTTCCTTCACGCTGTCAGATTTCCTACAGACGCGAAGGCAAAGTGTGCGCCGACCCGAAGCAGCACTGCCACTTTCGTGTGCAATTCGCGCGGCGCTTGGGCGAGAGCGACACTCTTCGATCTTCGATCGCCCGTGCGCGGCCCCGCGTCGACTCGCGCCGTGTCCGAGCGGGAGCGCCACTTCTGCGCGACAGTAGCACGGGTCTCCTCGACGAGGGCGGCAATTCGCCTGCTCGCGCGCGGCCTCGCTCCCAACGACCTGGGCGAGTGAAATGCATGCGCTGCGTCCAAGCGGGGGCGTCGGGCGGAAAATGTGCGCCGCGCCCAAGGGGAGCTCAAGTCCCAGGAAAAACAAGCGCGGAACGCGAAAGAAGCGACATTTCGGCGCTTCGCGCGCGATGTGCGCCACATCCCAGCCCTGACACGCAGTTTGCATCGTCGCTGATGTCCAGGTTGACAGGGACAAGGAATTACTTGGTGCTGCGTTCTGATGGGTATGTGATCACCCGGATCTGGCCCATATCGGTCGGCCAGGCGGCAAAACGAATGAACATTAGAGCAGGATCATGATGATTATGATGATGATGATGATGATGATGATGATGATGATGATGATGATGATGATGATGATGATGATGATGATGATGATGATGATGATGATGATGATGATGATAATGATGATGATGATGATGATGATGATGATGATGATGATGATGATGATGATGATGATGAGGTGGAGGCGGTGGTGCAGGAGGATGAGGAGGAGGACGTGGAGGAGGGAGGGAGGGAAGGAGGGAGGGTCAAGGCTGGTGTTTCAAATCACCTTCGACTTAATGCCCCGAGTCACCTTTGACCGCGCCCGCGCCCGCGCGGCATCAATGCGTCCATGGAGGCTTGCCCTCTGAATGGCCCTTCGATGGCCGACTGTGCGGATGGCGAAGATGACAGCGGAAGCGCTCTTCTGCTGGAAACTGAACTTTTGTCGATTCCATCGGTCCGGTCTAAACATCGCCGACGGAAGACGATGCAAGCCGCGAGGCAACAGCACGAAGAGGGAGTCGAATGTCAGGCCAGAGATGTCACGCCCATTCTGCATCACAAAGACTGAGGAGGTGGCAGATACTGGTGAGAAAGTCAAGGCGTTCGAGGCAAAAGTCCAGCCTCTTGAGGCTATGGTGAGAAGCTTGGTCGCCAATGGTGTGCAACGTAATCCGTCTTCTTGCGGCGGAACTTCCTTCCATTCCTCATCCCAGCTGTTTGACCATATAACTCTTTTCGAAAAGCGGAGCACGAGCGCTTTAAATTGCGTGTCTTGGAAGGGAAGAGCGACGAGGAGATGATGGGTGATCTTTCGGATTTGAATTCTGCCACGAAATGCATGGCAAGGTTGAGTACTGCTTGAAATTCGCTGATGGCAGCGATGATGAGGATGACGCAGAGGAAGACGAGGAAGAGGAAGAAACCGAACCTTCGGATGGAGACAAACAGTAGTTTGCACAGCTGGTGGTCATCTCTTCGCCTGGTTCATGCTCAGAGGATGCCAATTTGTGCATTGCAGAGTTGGGCAACAGTAGCAATGCTGTGCAAAACCATCATCTCATACTTGTTCTTTCATATTGGGACATTGCAGCGTGGTTTTGGACATGTTGGCGTTGCGGGTATACCTGCATCTTGGCTAGCTACTGTCACGGGCAGTATATCGGTTTCCAGTACATGGCAGTATTGTCGAAAGTCTGCACGTAGAGTTGTTCGATATTTTATTTGGTGGTGGTACGCCCTCGCATCATGTTGGGTGAGAACTGTGGCTGCTACTTTGTTATTGGTGTTTGACCTTTTGGCGTCGACCCATACAGCGTTGCGGCGGTAACGGGAAACTCCGGACATGCGGCCTGCACATTGGCAATGGTAGGTGCCTCCATACCAGTCTTGATGTGAGTCGTAGTATCTCCCCGCTCTCTTGTCTCTAATTTTGTCAGCCTGTCTTTCGCCCATTCCCATTCCCGTTCCTGGTTCGTTCTTGTCGCAGCTTCTCGTTCGCTGTTGCTCGCCCGCCCCCCATTCGCCTCTTTTTCCTGTACCTGCTTCTACGTTCCTGCTCTGCCTTTTCGTAACGAGTCTGTTATATCGAAATCGTGGCAGACTCAGTAATTGTTGCGCCTGCAAGGTTGTTGCGCCCGCAAGATCCGGAATCCGTGAAACTCTTGCAAATTCTATGAACGAATGTGCGCGGCGCTAAGGCGACAGCCACATTTCGAAAACGGTGTTATCCTCAATCTGTGAAGCTCTTGCAAATCTTTAAAACGAATGTTCGCTGCGCTAAGGCGAGAGCTACATTTTGAAAACGGGTTATCCTCAAGCCGTGAAGTTCTTGCATTTTTTTAGAATGACTGTGTGCGTCGCTAAAGCGAGAGCCACATTTTGAAAACCACCCGTCCTCCATCGGTGAAGCTGCTGCCAATGTTTAAGCCTCAGAGTCATAAGTGGTTAGGAAGTCTCAGGCAAACGCCAGGCCCGCCCTAAAAACTGGCTTCGGGGTGCGACAGGGAGAAGTTGTTTAGCAGAAAAAGGAATGGAGGAGGAGGATGAGGATGAGGATGAGGATGAGGATGATGATGATGATGATGATGATGATGATGATGATGATGATGATGATGATGATGATGATGATGATGATGATGATGATGATGCTGCTACTGATGATGATGATGCTGATGATGATGGCGATGAACATGATGATGCTGCTGCTGATGATGATGATGCTGATGATGAGGAGGAGGAGGAGGAGGAGGACGAGGAGGAGGACGAGGACGAGGACGAGGAGGAGAGGAGGAGGAGGAGGAGGAGAGGAGGAGGAGGGGGAGGAGAGGAGTTGGAGGGAGGAGGAGCAAGAGGAGGAGGAGGAGGAGGAGGAGGAGGAGGAGGAGGAGGAGGAGGAGGAGGAGGACAAGGAGGAGGAGGAGGAGGAGGAGGAGCAGGAGGAGGAGGAGGAGGACGATGTGATGATGATGATGATGATGATGATGATGATGATGATGATGATGATGATGATGATGATGATGATGATGATGATGATGATGATGATGATGATGATGATGATGATGATGATGATGATGATGATATGAGGAGGAGGAGGAGGAGGAGGAGTAGGAGGAGGAGGAGGAAGAGTAGGAAGAGGAGGAACAGCTGGAGGACGAGGGGGATGGGGGAGGGAAATGTGGTTTGGCATGCAGAAGGAGAGGGCGCTGCTCAAAGCTTCACCTGAACTTTCTTCCGCCTTATGGCCTCGCTTTGCTCTGGTGGCCGATGAGCGCTGCCTGCAGTCTTTTCTTTCGGAGCAGCGCAGAGAGGAAAAGGGGGAGAGGGGGTAGGACGGCAGGAAGGGGAAGGTTGTGGAGGAGGGAGGAGGGAGGAGGGAGGGGGCAGGGAAAGAGGAGGGAGGAGGGAGGAGGGAGGATGAGGGATGTCGGAGGAGGAAGGAGGAAAAGGACGAGGAGGAACAGGAGGAGGACACGGTGCAGGGGGGGCAGGGAGGGGAGGGGTGAGACCGTCCGTTCGCTTTCCAGGCCTCCGATGTTTTGATTTGTTCGAATGTGGGGGCTTTAGGGTTCTCGATAGCTTCACAGGTATTGCTTTAATTCGTCCCAGATCGTGTCTTGACCTGGCGGCACGCACAAATGGTGGCAGCTCTTGGGGGGCGATTTTCTGGGAACGCGGAAACGCTTCCACTAAGGAGTGACGCCTCTTATGAGCTCTTTGGGCTCACGATCAAACTTTTTACGCTACGTTTGCGTCGTGTCGATTGGCGGCGACCCCACCGCCGGCGTTTAACGTTGAACGCTGCCAGCGACCCAGAATCGGTCGATGCTGACTGTGCTGACGTTTCGGAAATTGCCGATCGTTCAAGGTTGAACGATTTCCGCGGTGTCAGGAACCAACGCCGAAGTCGGCACGACACGAGCCTGCCGTAGAAGCGTTCGGGCCCTTCTACGAATGACTTCCTGCCTTCACAGGAACCACTCCGCCTTTGAAGGCCGCCTCCATCGCATTATCCCCCCTTGTGTCGGCGTCACCCCAACATTGTAGTACTATGTGTGCGTTGCTCCCCAGGGGCGACGCACGCGCCGCAAAATCTTTCAGTATCAGCTGCGTGCCGGGCGTTTTCTGGCCATACCGCTCTGAAGACGATGTACTACATAATGGCTATAATGTATTTTCGGGTCGGACGCACGCCCCCAAGGAGGACACATAGTACTAGTATGTCCTTGAGCGTGCCACTGTGCGCGCCCCAAGTGGACGGCCTCGGGGCTCGAACACACGGCGAACAACCGCCGCCGCCGCCGCGTCTTCTTCAAGACGCCAGAGGTCTGGGTCGGCCACGCGCATAGAGGGGGGTATGGGGGAGGGGGGAAAGGCTTCTTATAAGCATCCCTACTCCGCCTTTACCTGTAGATGTAAGGTCGGCACCTTCTAAGAAGCAGCCTCCTTCTTAGGAGCCTTCCCCCCTCTCCCTGCCCCCTTGTGCGCGCCGCCAATCCGAGTCGGCAGGATCCCTGGCAGCACCGCCCGCTGCGCCCCCGGCGCTCATGGGCAGTGGGCCACCAGGAACGACGGCTGCTCCTTTCGCCGTGGGGGCAACAGGTCCTGAGGTTTTCCGTCGTTTTTGGGCCCTCCGGTGCCCTCTCGGGACGTCGTTTTTCGTCGTTTTTCGTCGTTTTTAGTCGTTTCTCGTCGTTTTTCGTTGTTGTTTCGTCGTTTTTGGGACTGTCAGAAAAAGACTCAGGATGAACACCTCGGTCCAGGACCCGTTTCCCTCGGGACCCGCCTCCCCCATGCGCATCGGCCACGCGCCAAGAGGGGGGGAAGGGGGAGGGGGGAAGGCTTCTTAGAGGGAGGCCGCTCCTCAGAAGGCGTGGGGCTTGCCTACGGATGTGAGGCCGGCGCCTTCTGAGAATCGGCCTCCTCCTAAGGAGCTTCCCCCCACTCCCCCTGCCCCCCTTTGTGCGCGCCAAGCTGATCCCTCCGCGCCGCCGCCGCCGATCAGCGACGGGGAGGTGGTGACTCGCTGCTCGTTGCGGGGCAGGGTGCGAGCTCGCGCCGACACCGTGGGCTCCTCCGTCCCCCCTCTCTCTCTGCCTCTCGGCGGCGCGCAGGCGGCAGGGGCGGCCTCCTGACACGGCTGGGGGGCCTCCAAGGGGGCACATGGGCCCCCTCAGAGGGGCCCGCCCTTCCCGAGAGCCCTCCGACCTCTTTGGAGGGCCGCCCCCCTCCACTGCGCTGCCCTGTGAGGACTGGCCCCTTCTCTTTCCGCAGTCTGCGCACGGCAAGCTTCTGCAGTGCAGCTCCGGCGTGCTCGTGTGGCCCTCGCGTACCTGTGCGCGCTCTCCGTTGCTGGGGGGTCTGGGGCCTGATGCTTGGCAGTGGCTTGTGGTTGCTCGAACTGTCTTGCTAGCAGATCGTATGAGGGTTCTCCCGATGCCCTGCCTTGCGCGCGAGTGAAAGTGAGGATGGCCTGTTTGTAAGTGAAGCCTTTGCAGTGGCTTGTGGTTGCTCGAGCTGACTTGCTAGCACATCGTAGCAGGTTCACCCCATGCGGCCTTGCCTGTAAGCAAGCGACAGCGAGGACGGCACTGAGGCAGGGCAGTCGATTCAGTTGCTCCAGTTGCCACAGTTTCAGCCTGTGCGTTTCGCGTGCCATTCGTCGCCTGTCTGGGCCTGAGGCTCGCGCTCTGTTTTGCAAGCCGAGGTGTGGGAGCGCTGTGACCCGCTTCTGCCTTGTTGCCCCTCTTCCTCCTCAAGCCATCCATCTCTTCCCTCTCTCCCCGCCTCCCTCCCCGTCCACTTCTTCCCCTCTTTATGCACGCCTCCCTCCTCTCGGGCCCCCTCCTGCCTTCTCTTCTCCCGCTCCTCCCTCCCTGCTCGCCTTTTGTGTCCCCCCCTTCTCATCCTCCTGCTGTTCCTGTTCCTCTTTCGTCCACCCTCTGCTGCTGGTCTTCTTCGTCATCTTCTTCTTCGTGCCCGCCCTGGCTCCAGGCACCGACCAGGCCAACTTGGATCTCCTGACCCATGCCGCCAGGGGAACGGGGGGGCGGTGGAGCCTGAACAGGTCGAGGATCGCGGCGATGGCGATAACGATCATGGTGGTGGTATAGGTCGACGATGATGACGACGATGACGATGACAATGACGATGATGGTTATAAAGAGGACAAACGGGATGATCACGATCCAAATGATGACGACGATGGCGATGGCGATAACGATTCTGATGGTGATATATGTCGACGATGATGACGACGATGACGGTGACAATGACGATGATGACTATAAAGAGGATGCTGGGCATGATAACGATGCAGATGCTAACGACGATTGTGTTCACCATGATGGTGTTCGTGCTGATCGTGGTGATGGCCATGGCGACGATGACGATTGCAATCTGACAATGACGATGATGACTATAAAAGGGACAACGGGGATGACAGCGATGCAGATGACGACGACGATGGTGCTGACAATGATGGTGTTCGTGCTGGTCGTGGGGATGGCCATTCTGGGAGCTGGACAACTACGGCTTCTTCCAGGAGCACCAGGAGTATGACACGGATTCGGTCAACAGGCTTGTGGGACTGGGCGACGCTGTGCTCGAGGAGGCGGGCTCGCTTGAAAAGGTCATCGTGGCGCTGCGTGGGGCCTGGTGGAAAAGGCACGGCTACCACCTGGAGGGCATCTTCAACATACCTGGAGCCGTTGGTGGATGGCGCGCTGCTGGAGTACGCCATGAAGGTGGCTGGAGAGGGAGCGAGGACGAGGTCCAGAGGCACGCCGATGCGCCTCAAGGCCTTGCCGCACCCTAGCGCAACAAATCACATGGACGAGGTTATGAGCGCCCTCTGGGAAGACGCGGCCAAGGGCAAGGTCTTGTTGTGTACCAGCGTCCACGAGCATCTACTCAGCAGGATGGTGAGCGCGCCGACGGCACGCGTGCTCAAGCCAAACCCCGACCGTACTATGAGCGACAAGGGCAGGCTGATATGGGACGGCACCGTGCAAAACAAGAACTGCCCGAAGCAGGGCCAGCCCGCATCAGACAGTCCAGGCATGAGGATTTGGCGCGTATCATCCTCTGGGTGAAGGCCCGCTCGCCTGGCGTCGAGCTCTATCTGGCCAAGAAGGGTGTCAAGGACGTGTTCCGCTGGGTGGTGATGCACGAGATGGATGCCTGCATCTTCGGGGCCGACCGGGGGGGGGGGGCAAGTGGGCAGTGGCCGCCCTCGATACGGCTGTCTGCATGGTGCTCACCCTCGGCTGGCAGCCCAGGCGAATGGATGATAGGGGCATGGGTGGCCAAATGCTACCATGCAGCCTGCTGCCCAGCAGACGCCCGATGGGACGACACTGTCCCTTTCCACAGTTCGTTCCTGATGGACGACCAGGTGTCAGTGGAGCCCGACATCGGCACTCGCGCTGTTCAGAGCGGAATCGCAGCGCTGGAGGGCATCAGGACATGCTTGGGCGAGGACGCGGTCAATGAGGAGAAGGACTTGGAGGAAGGAGGCTGGGAGACCGACGAGATATGCTGGGGCCCCCCGTGCCGCGCAAAGGAGGGCAAGATCGAGATGCCAGCACCTAAGATCGAGAAGGCGGCGTACATCCTGGCGGGCCCGTCCTTAGAACATGGCCAGCAGGGCATCCCTTGGAACTTCTCGGAGGTGTACTGGGGGAATCAGTAGTACTGGAGTCTGGTCACGCCTGCTCTGCGATGTCTGGTGGGGGCCGCGGATGCGTTGATGGGGGGGCGCCCGAGACGTTTAGCAGGGCCCAGAGAAGGAGACGCCAAGGGCTTGCTGACCTGTATTGATTTCTGGCAATCCACGGAGGTGGCGCGCGTGCTGTCGGCAGACCGTGCTACGTGGCGGACGAGGTTCGTAGGCGCCCTGTCAGGCGTTCTGACGATCGACGAGCGATTGGCCTTACCTGGAGCACGCTATCGAGTGATCTGGGTTGCGGGTGACGCCGCGCTGGAGCGCATCGCCACCGTGGACTCGGTCAACTCCAAGTGTACTTCCCAGTCTTTTCGGGACTTCATGGGCGCGCTCAGGAAAGCCGTGGGGGTCGAGGAGGAAGAAGAGGGCATCGTCGCGATCGTGGAGCTCTTGATCCTGGTTGCCTTCGCCGCGCGGCGGGGGCAACAGCGGCGCGCCTTGCTGGCTGCAGATGCGCCATTTTCCTGATCGCGGTGGTCACGTGCTTGGAGGCGGTCTACGACTGCGAGATCGCGAGCGCGTGCTTTCGCACGTGCCACGACGTCACGGCCGACGCCTTCTCGCGCGTGGCGGAGGAGGAGGAGGGGGCCAGGGGGGGCGCAGAGGAGAAGGGCTTGGAGGTCCTCAACCTGCAGTGCAGCTGGGCCAGCTGCATCTGGAGAGGGGTTGTTTTTCAGCGGGCGCTGATCTGGGAGGGGCAAAAGCGAGAGGTGCGCTCGGGTGGCCCAGCAGGTGGCAGCGGCCAGGAGGGGGCCGCAGGGGGCACAGGATGACACCGGGGGGCGCCGTCGTGATCGTCGGGTGGCGCGGGGCCCTGGGCGCGGGCGCGGAGGCGCCGCCGGCCGGGCAGGCGTCGGAGACGACGGGCGTCGATGCGATATGGCGGCGCAGACACCCGAGGACATGGGCGTGGAGAGCGAGGCTGCGCCTCCCTCGAGGGAGCCAACGACGGGCAACTTGAGGCGGGCAGGCTCGCTTGATGGCGAGGAGGCGTGGGTCCCATAGACGGAGGCGGACCTGCGGCGGCCGAGCGCGCCAGGAGGCGTTCCGCGGACCCCGCCTCGCGCGGCCCCAGGAGGTGCCGAGACGGCGGATGCATCCGGAGCTATGGTCCCGAGCTACGCGCAGGCGCGGGGGAGGCGGCCGCGTGGCCTGCCGAACCGTGCGAGCCTGGAGCGCAGTGCTCCCGCCGCGCCATGGCGTCCTGGTTCTTGCTGCAACGCGCGCTCGCAGGCGAGCGCGCGGGCGAGGACTGGGCGGGGGGGGGTGCAGACCGCCGCGGGCCCTGCGAGAAGGTCCCGCGTGGCCGGGGGCAGCGCGAGGGCGCCCGGCCCCCTCCGACAGGCGGAGGGGGTCTACGCAGGAAGAAGAATAGTATTACTAAGAAGAAAAGAAGAATGAAACTAATAAGAACAGAAGAATACGAATAATAATATTAATAATCCTGCTAGTATTATTATTATTATTATTAGTATTATTAGTAGTAGTAGTAGTAGCATCAGGTAGTAGTAGTAGTAGTAGTAGTAGTAGTAGTAGTAGTAGTAGTAGTATTAGTAGTAGTAGTAGTAGTAGTAGTAGTAGTAGTAGTAGTAGTAGTAGTAGTAGTAGTAGTAGTAGTAGTAGTAGTAGTAGTAGTAGTAGAGGTAATACTTTTACAAAATAATAAGAGGAACGTGCTAATAATGAGAAGAAACATCAAACCAATAAACGAAGTAACATAAGATTACTAATAATAAGAAGACGAATAATAATAAAGAGAAGAAAAGGCAGGGCTTCCGGCCGAAGGACACAAGTTCCAACGCCGCCGCCGATGGGGCTCGCGCTGGGAAGCTGGGGCGCCGCCTGCGGAGGGGCCGCGCAGATGGGGGGCGGGCGGCGGCGGCCCGGCGAGGGGCGCCCGCCTCCCTCCCCGAGGCGCTCGCGCTCAGGAGGCGCGATGAGGGCGGGGCTGCGCGCGAGGAAGCTCTCCGGCAGAGCAGGGGAAATTGTGCATTTCGCCGCGCGAAAGCCCTGCTCGCCCAGCGGGTGGCGAGGCAGCCCCAGACGGGGGCCAAGGAGGGGCTGGAGTCGGATGGCGAGGTGCTGAGGCGTATTGGGCGCGCGGCGGTGGGGCGCCAGTGCGAACAGCTGGCCCGCCGCGTGCTTGCCCGCCGCGAAGGGGGAGGCAGCGCTGCCTCAGGTCAGGGCATGGAGCTGCCGAGGCCTCCGGGTGACGGATGGCGCGTGGCCCGCCCCGAGGCGGCGGAGGGCCTCCGCGTGCGCGGGGCGCGCTCAGCCCCGCCGCGCGCCGACCGAGGGGTCGCGGCCCCTCCCCGGCAGCGGGGGCCTCTCCCGATGCCGGATCAGGGATGGGCAGAGGGGGCCTACGGCTGCCCCCCGCACCTGGCGCCGACGCTCGAGGATGAGGGCGGGGGCGGCGCGACGTCCTACCTGCTGGGCGCAGAGGAGAAGCCGAGGGGCCGTGGGTCCTTGCAAGCCTGCCCCGAAAGAACGGAGGGGGGAGGGGCCGCGAGGGCGGCGGCCCTGCAGGGGCGCGGCCGCAGGATTCAGGGCGAGGAGGCTCGCCGTCGGAGGAACGCGTATCGGGGGGGCGGGTGGGCGCGAGGCCCGCCGAGGACAGCCGCGGGGGGGCGAGCCCGCGCGAATCGGAGGGCCCCATCGACCCAGAGGCGGTCGCCCGCTACCTGATGGAGACGCGTCGGGCAGGAGGCGCTGGCGCGGTGCCGGCTGGCATCCGGTCAAGCTTGCGTTCGCTAGGTATGAGAGACATGGGTGGCGGCTGGTGCAGTGGCCGCCCGGAAAAGGAAGTGGCGCAGGTGCTGCTGGGCCAGCTCGAAAAAAGAAGAATGCAATTGCTACTGGCAATAATTTCTAATCGTAAGGAGACGCATTATCGCACGAATAATACAATCACTAATAGTCGTATTAATAATGTAATAAGAAGAAGAAGAAGCGCAATGGTAATCGTGATGAGAAGAAGAGGGGCAGGGGCGCGGGCCCAGTGGCCCGCCGGCCCCCGAACCTGCTGGGGCCAGAGGCGGAGCTGGGCGAGAAGAAACGTTCAGGGGGGTCGCCCGAGCTTATGGGGGGGGGGGGCGAGGAGGAGCTGCTGCTGGAGTTCGTCGCGCGCCCGACGAGGCGCGGGGGCGAGGAGGCGGGCGCCATCAGGCAGTGTCTAAGCGCAGTTCGGGCCCAGCGCGTGGCCCTCGGCGCGGGTGGTGCGACCGCGGGCGCAGGGGGGCTCTGGGTGGCTACCGGTGGGCTCAGTCGGCGAGGCGGCGCCCCCGATTGTAGGAAGCCGGTCGCGCCGAGGATAACGCGGTGGATCGAGAGGAATCTGCAGCCCGAGAGGTCTCGGGAACGGGCGGCTCTCTGGGCGGCAGAGGCCACGGGCTACTTCTTCTTTTTGAGGCCCAGCGAGTGCATGTCCAGCGACCAGGGCGGCCGCGCGGGCAGCGAGGGCTTGCGAGGTGTGGGCGTCGCGCCGAAGACGGGGGGCGAGCCTTGCAGGGGCTGGTCTAGGGTAGACGAGGTGGCCGTCGAGATCCGGGTCAGCAAGGCGGGCCAGTGTAATCGCGGCGATTGGCGCGACCACTTCGCGGTCGAGGCGGTGGCTGGCGAGGAGGCGGAGGCTCGCCTGCGCGTCGCGCAGGCCCTGGCCATCTACGAGCGCTGGGCGAAGGGGGGGTTTCAGGCGCGAAGATGCGCGACCTGCTGTTCGCTGTCGGCGGCGAGAATTTGGCCGCGCGGGCGGGCGTCCAGCGGGTGGTGGTGCGGGCAGCGGTGGAAGAGGGACTTGACCCGAACGACCTCGGCTCCCATTGCTTGAGGGTCGGGGGCGCGCCCCCCTTTTTGCGCGGCGTTCAAGGGCGCGGCGCTGGTGCAGAGATGGGGGCGCTGGGGCAGTGGCGCATGGCGCGGGTGCCTCTGGGGGGCAAGGGGCGTGGCGCGGGGCGTGGCCGGCAGCGCGGCGGCCGCGGGCCTGGCCGTGGCGCGGGGGCGAGGCGCGGCGGGCCGCGGCAGAGGAGCTTCTGAAGCTCGGCGCGCAGGGGTAGCAAGTGAGGCTGCATGGGCCAGAGGCTGCAGCGCTGGGGGGGGCAGGGGCCTCGCGAAGCTCGCGGAGGCAACGGCCCAGTCGCGCGTGAGAAGCGCCTTCGTTGCCGGGGGCCGCCGGCAGCGGCGCGCGTCGGAGGCGCGACGGTGTGGCGGTCGAGCGAGCGCTGGGAAGTGGCAGGGCCGAGCCCCCCCTCCAGTCAAGGCTGGGGCCCTCGAGGTGGGCCCCGCGGCCTGGGTGGCGGTGGCCAGCGGTGGCGGAGAGGCGGCAGGCGCCAGATGCGTGTGGGGGGGGCCATCGCCCAGATGCGGGGGCGGAGGGCCTCGCCCCGGGCGGGCGAGCTCGCGCGCGGACGGGCCGGGTGGCTTGTGGCGCAAAAAGATGTTTCAACATTATCAGAGAGGAGGGGTGGCCTGAGTGGCGAGCGCGCGACGCGGGTTGCCGCCGCCGTCCGCCTGAGGTCAGGGGGCGGAGGTGAAAGAAGAAGAGTTGGACGTTCGTGAAAAGAGAAGGTTTTCTCCCTGTGACCCCCCCCCCTTGCTAGTCCTTTTCCTCTTCCGCTGCCCCGTCTCGCTCGAGGCCCCGCGCGGGGCAACTTCTTTTTTGGGGTCCCACCCTCCCGCGCCAAATGTAGGGTGGTGGGGCTCCGGCGTTTTCGCGCCTGCCCCGCAAAGGGGCTCGGTGGCCAGCTTTGCGCGCTTGCCGTTTCGCGGTCGGCGCGCCCCTGCCCGCCGAGGGGGGCCATCGCCGGGGTGCGAAGGTGGGGGGCCTCGCGCGGGGCGGGCGAGCTCGCGCCCGGACCGATTGGGCGCCCTGTGGCGCAAGAAGATTCCTCATCGTCATCAGACAGGAGGGCGGCCAGAGTGGCGAGCGCGCGACGCGGCGGCAGCCCTGTGTTCAGGAGGCGGAGGTAGGAGGAGAAAGTTTGAAACTCCGCATTTTTCTCCTCCTTGCGATGTGCTTTGGGATCTCCTTGTCCTCATCCCCCCCCCCCTCCTCCTCTTCTTCTTCTTCTTCTACCTCCTCCCCCTCGTCCTTCTCCTCCTCTTCTTCCTCCTCCACAATGATCCGATATGAATATTACTCTCCCTCTTCCCCTGATGACGGCCTGGGAGTGTCCGACCTCCCCCCGCGTATTGTTTTTTACACACACGTTTCCCCGGAGTTGGGTTTTCGCATGCATTTTCTTCAAAATGCTGCTCTCGCTGAGGCGCCGGCCTCATTTTCGGGTCCCGCTCGTTCCGAACCGTGCTCCCGCCGCAGCGCTGGCCTCATTTCTGTGCTTCCGCTCGTTCCGAATCGTGCTCCCGCTGCAGCGCTGGCCTCATTTCCGCGCTTCCGCTCGTTTCGACTCGTGCTCCCGCTGCAGCGCTGGCGTCATTTCCCGTGCCATGCCACGGCATGCACTGCAATGCTCGGTTGATACTACGCTTTGCGGTGCTCTTCTACGCCATGCCATGCCGTGCTCTACAACGCATCGCGTACCCTCTCGGGTTCATTCCCTTGCTCGACATCCGACTGTGCGAGTAGAGAGGGGATCTGCGCCATGGTAAGGGATGGGAGGGAGGGGTACGATGTCAGATATGACGCGAGCGCACCTAGCTTGTCGTCCCCCCCCTCTTCCTCATCCTCATCGTCATCCCCCGCCGCCCCCAAGGGCCCGGCGTCGCGACAAAATCGGAACATCGCGGAAAACCACGAACGGAACCATCGACCCGATCTTTCCGCTGCATTTGCCGAGCCGTATCGATCTGTGATGTTCCCGGGTGCCGAAACGCTTTTTGTGACAACAAATTCAACGCCAGGCTCTGAGGATCCCCCCCTCGATCCTCCTTCGTTTTCCTCCTCCCCCTCCCAGCTTTAGACCCTATCTTTGTGAGGCAGTTTTTCGGGTCTGGTCGATTTGTGATTGTCCCGGGGCCCGAAACACATCGCCGGGTGTGTCAGAAAGTACAACGCCAGGACCTGACGGTCTTCTGTTTTCTCTTCTTCCTCGTGCTCCTCTTTCTGCTTCCCCTCTTCCTCCCCTGAGATCCGGCGTCTCAGAAAGATTGCAGCATCACGACAAATCACGACCGGAACCCTAGACCCAGTTTCCAGCGGCAGTTTTCGATTGGGATCGATTTGTGATTATCCTGGGGCCCGAAGCCTGGGCGCAATCGTTTGGTGTGACTGAAATAGCAACACCAGGATCTGATGTGCCGCTTCCTCCTCCTCCTTCTGCTCCTCCTCGTCCTCTTCCTTTTTCTCGTTCCTTGTGGTCCGACGTCACGGAAGAGATGGTCAAAATTGTGACATCGCGAGAAATCACGTTTGGAACCGGAGGTTGCTCGATTTTATGTAGTATTTCATGCCGTATAGATCTGTGAGTGTCCTGGGACCTGATATTGCGCGAAATCGCCCAGTGTGATTAAGATCGTATTCGTCGACGTCGTCTTCTTCCTTCTCCTTCTCGTCCTCCTCCTCCTCCTCCTCCTCCTCCTCCTCCTCCTCCTCCTCCCCCTCTTCCTTCTCCTCCTCCTCCTCCTCCTCTTCCTCCTCCTCCTCATTTCCTGAGATCCGACGACACGGGAAAATGGCAAAATCGCAAAACGTCACGAACTGAACTTTAGGCCCCATCTGCCTGCTGTATGTTTTGAGCTGGATCGATTCGTGATTGTCCCGTGGCCCGAACCTGGGCAACACCACCCTGTGTGACAAAACTTGTAACGCCAGGATTGGAGGGTCTCCTTCCTCCTCCCCTCCTTCTTCCCTTCCTCTTCCTCCTTCTCCTCCTCCTTCTTCTCGTCCTGTTCCTCTTCCTCGTCCTCCTTCCCCTCCTCCCCTGAGATCCGACGTCACGGACAAAAATTATATCGAGAGGAATCACGAACAGAGCAAGACCCGATCTTTCTGCTGCATTTGTCGAGCCGGATCGATTCGTCATTGTCCCGTGGCCCGAAGGTGGGCGCAATCGCCCGGTGTGCCGAGTATTGCAACGCCAGGGTTTGAGGGTTCCCCCCTCCTCACTGCTCTTCCTACTCCTCCTTTTCCTCCTCCTCCTCTTCCTTCTTCTCCCCCCCCTGAGATCCGACGTCAAGGAAAAACCGCAGTATCGCGAAAATCTCGCAAGAAGCCCTAGACCCACTCTTTCTGCAGCATCTTTCGAGCCCGATCGATCTGTGACAGTCCGGGGGCCCGAGACTGGGCGCAATTGCCCAGTGTGACGGACAGTTGCAACGACAGGATCTGAGGTGTCCTCTTCCTTTTTCCTCGTCCTCCTCATTCCCTCCTCTGCCTCCTGCTCCCGCTCCTGCCCCTGCTCCTCCTCCTCCTCCTTCTCCTCCTCCGGTTCCTCCTCCTCCTCCTCCTGTCTCCTCCTCCTCCTCCTCCTCCTCCTCTTCCTCCTCCTCCTCCTCCTCCTCCTCCCACGAGATCGGACGCCTCGGAAAAGTCGCAGCATCGTGAGCCAGGTCGATATGTGACCGTCCTGGGGCCTTGGCGAAACTGCTTGGTGTGACACAAGTTGTAACGCCAGGACCTGAGGGTCCTCCTCCTCCTCCTTTTCCTCCTCTTCCTCCTCCTCCTCCTCCTTTTCCTCCTCCTCCTCCTCCTGCTCCCCACAGATCTGACGTCACGAACAAGATTGCAGCATTGAACGTCGAAAAGATGACGGCCAGAGCCTCAGACCCCACCTGTTTGCTGCATTTGTCGAGCCAGATCGACTGGTGAGTGTCGCGTGGCCCGAAGCTGGGCGAAAGCGTCCGATTTGGGCGGAAGCTGTCATAGGATGCAACGCCAGGATTTGAGGTTCCCCCTCCTCCGCTCCCCCTCCTCCTCCTCCTCCTCCTCCTCCTCCTCCTCCTCCTCCTCCTCCTCCTCCTCCGCCTCCGCCTCCGCCTTCGCCTTCGCCTCCGCCTCTGCCTCTGCCTCCTCCTCCGCCTCCGCCTCCGCCTCCGCCTCCCCCTCCCTTCTCCTCCTCCTCTTCCTCCTCCTCCCCCTCCTGCTCCTCCTTTGCTGGCCCCCGGGGGGAGGTCATGCGGCAGCTGGGTCAGCGGGAGAACCACACGCTCCTCCTGAGCGACCTCGGGGCGCTGCTCCCCCAGGCCGCTGCGTGCACCCCGCCCGGGCGGCCGGTCCACATCGCCCGCCCCCGCCCCTCTCTCGAGGATGAGCGGTTCCGGACGAGGAGAGGACGAGGAGGACGCCGCCAGGCTTTCCTGCGTGTCGTGTTCGCTCACGTGCTTCACAGTGAGTGCGATCCGCCCAGGCCCTGCTGAACGCGAGGTCATGCGGCGACCTGCGGTGCGTGCGCCATTGGGGGTTGCTCCCCGCGGTGGCCTGAGGACACGACTGGCCGTTTCGGGTAAGCCCAAGCAGGATGATGATGATGCTGATGATGATGATGATGCTGATGATGATGATGATGATGATGATGATGATGGTGGTGATGATGATGATGATGCTGATGATGATGATGATGATGATGATGATGAGGAGGAGGAGGAGGAGGAGGAGGACCAATGTAAACCCAAGAGTCGTCAACGATGTTGAAATATACCCTCTATCCAAGCTGCTTCTTCATAGGCCCCTACATGGATTCATTTCCACTGAGGGAACTGCTTCGTTGGAGGACAACCGTTTGAAGACCCTGAAGCCTGCCAAAACATTAGTCTCGGGACTCCAGAGCCACGGATCATACTGACTGTTGCGTCTTGACGATCCTGAACCGTGCCAGAACGCCATTCCTGGACCTCAACACCGCGAATCAACGTTACTGTTGCACCTTCATAATCCTGAATCTGTCCAAAACGCGATTTCTGGTACGCTGACCATGGGAACTCGTGAAACTCTTGCAACTGTTTAAACGAATGTGCGCGGCGCTAAATCTAGAGCCACATTTTGAAAAGGAACCGCCTTCAATCCGTGAAGCTCTTGTAATAATGCTTAAACGAATGTGCGCGGCGCTAGGCGAGAGCCACATTTTGAAAACCACCCGGCCTCAATCTGTGAAGCTCGTGCAATTTCAAACTCGTGCAGTTTTTTAGGAACGAATGCGCGGCGCTTAGGGGAGAGTAACATGTTGAAAACGTTCCACCCTCCATGTGTGAAGCTCAGTGGTGAGGAAATCTCAGGCGAAACGCCAGGCCCGCCGTTTCGACTGGCCTTGGGGTGCAACAGGAAGGAGGTAGTCTCCTCCTCCTCCTCCTCCTATTCCTCCTCATCCTCCTCCTCCCTCTTACTTCCTGGTACCTCCTCTTCCCCCTCCCTCCTCCGCCTTCTGCCTCGCCTCGCCGCGGGCTGGGCAACTTGTCGAAGGATGCCGAGGAGCCCCTTGGCAAAGCCGCTCAACGTCGAAGCGGGAGTGTCTCGGAGCCGCAGCGCCCGAATGCCGGCTCTCCGATCATCACCCTCCGCATCACCCGATCCCCGGCCCGCTGGCCGCCTCACTACTCTTGTCTGCTGCCCGCGCAAGCCTGTGCCCCGGCGCACGCGCACAAGAACTTCGTGCTCGGAGCGTGCGCCGCCGCCCGCGGCTGCCTCTCCCCCCTGCGCGCCTCTCCCGCTCCCGCTGTGCCCAGTTTGGCCCCGTGGCGCCCGTCGGCTGCTCCGCCGCGGCAAGGCAATATCCTCCCCCCTCCCAGTGTCTCCACGAGTTTCGGGCCCCTTTGCTGGACCCTTTGGAGAGTTGCCTGCCTGCACGGTGTTGAGCCGCCCGATTGGGCGGTCGAATGCGCTCGGGAGTGCAGCTAGGCTGAGCTTCTTGAGGCCACGGGCCCCTTTGCTGGACCGTTGGAGAGTTGCCTGCCTGCACGGTGTTGAGCCGCCCGACTGGGCGGTCGAATGGGCTCGGGAGTGCAGCCTGGCTAAGCCTTTTGAGGCCAAGGCTGTCTTCTTGGCCTCTCGAGGGGGACAAGTTCCTTCTCGGGCCGCGTTGCGGCGAGGCAGAGCGCCTGAGCTCCACAGCCATAGCTACAACCTGGCAGTGTCTCCCGGGCTCCTCAGTTGGCTCCCCCTTCTCCGCCTGCAGCCTGGGCCCGCGCGCAGGAGCGAGCCGCGACCTGCGCGCCCCTCCTGCGATCGCGATCTGCGGTCTGCCCGCCCGCCCCGCGCGCGGCCCCGCGCCTTCGTCGGGGCCAGTCCCCCTTCTCTCACTTTGGTGGTCCCCCCCCCTCTCTCTGGCATCCCGCCTGAGGGCAGCAACTGTGCACCTACACCGATCTTGGCCAGGCCGATCCTTGGCCCACGATCGGTGCATGCGCCATCCTGCCCAAGCTGGGAGGGCGCAGGCACCGATCCTGGGCCCAGGATGTGCCTGGCCGGGATCGGTTCATGTGTACAGTTGGCGTTCTCCTATCTCGGCGGCGCGCCGACGGGGGAAGAGAGGGGGCAGGCCTTCTCATGAGGCGGCGAGGCTTTCAGAAGCCCGTCCGCTTTCCGACAAGCTTCCCGCTGCTTCCGAGATGGCTCACAGAGTCTCTCAGGAGGCCGCAGGTCTTCTGAGCCTCCTGAGAAGGCCCGCCCCCCAGACCCCCTGCGATTTTTTTTGCGGCGAGGCGTCGACCCGCAGAGGTCTCGACCCATTCCCCGGGACCGATTTTTAATCCCGAGTGGTTTCTGGCGGTTCTGGGGCCCCCAGCGAGGGTCCCGGACGCTGAACAACGACGAGCAGTGTCCGTCGTGCTTTGTCAGTTCGCTGGAGGTCTTCCCCTCTTGCGCGCGCCGCCGAGCCTCCAGGCGTTCCAGCTGTGGAGCTGGATTTTCTCCACGCCGACGGCGCCGACGGCGCCGTCGGCGTCGTCGATGCACCGCCGATGCATCGGCAATGCGGCTCGAGCCTTCGACCCACCTGCGGTAGGTTCGTGTCGTGCCAACGCGGCGATGGCCCCGCCGCAGGCGTTCAAGGTTGAGCGCCGCCGGTGGCCCAGAATCGACAAATGTGGAACGATCCGGACATCGGAAATCCGCCCATCGTTCCAGGTTGACCGATCCACGCGGTGTCAAACACCAGTGCCGAAGTCGTCACAACACGAACCTGCCGCACGGTACCCCCATGCTGGGAGGCCTTCAGAGCATCGGGCACCCCGAGACGAGACGAGGCGAGCGCGCGATGCTGGTCTGGCGGGACCAGTCCGACGAGGGCGTCGCGGGGGGGGCGGGGCCCTCAGGAGACGCGTTGTGAGCAGGAGCCGGAGTCCCAATCGTGGGGCTCGAAGTTGGAGACAAGGTGAGCTTGCTTGCCGCTGTCGTCGTCCGTGTGAATGCCCACCACAGCTGTTCCAAATGTTTACCTCCGCGAGCCCTCGCGCCGCCCTCTCTAGAGAGAAGTGGGCCGGGCGCGCGACGCGCGACCGATATCAGCTCCGCACCCCGCGGGCGAGTGCTGCCTCGCTCTGCAGAGGGCGGGGCGGCGAGCGACAGGGGATTGGAAAACAAGGGGGGGGGGGCTAGGGGCTGTCCTCATCCTCCCCCTCCTCCTCCTCCTCCTCCTCCTCCTCCTCCTCCTCCTCCTCCTCCTCCTCCCCCGAGGACCTGCGCAACCAGGTGAAGGAGCGCGGGGGCCTCCGCAGCGCGCTGCAAAGGCGGGCCCTCTCGTGGGGGGCCTCGGGGTCGGCGGCAGCGTGCGGTTGGTTGCGGCAGCATCGGAGCTGCTCCTGCTCCAGCCAGCTCGGGGGGAGGGGCGGGAGGGAGGGAGGGATGGGAGGGGAGGGAGGGAGGGAGGATGGGAGGGAGGATGGATGGATGGATGGAGTCCTCCCAGTGAGGCGGCATTGGGGGTGCGGGCACGGCCCCTTTAGCAGAGGGCGGCATGGAGGTTGGGAGGGAGGGAGGGAGGGAGGGGAGGGGAGGCAAGCTAGGTGCGCTCGCGTCATATCTGACATCCTACCCCTCCCTCCCATCCCTTACCATGGCGCAGATCCCCTCTCTACTCGCTCAGTCGGATGTCGAGCAGGGCAATGATCCCGAAAGGGTACGCGATGCATTGTAGAGCACGGCATGGCATGGCGTAGAAGAGCACCGCAAAGCGTAGTATCAACCTAGCATTGCATTGCATGCCGTGGCATGGCACGGGAAATGACGCCAGCGCTGCAGCGGGAGCACGAGTCGAAACGAGCGGAAGCGCGGAAATGAGGCCAGCGCTGCAGCGGGAGCACGATTCGGAACGAGCGGAAGCACGGAAATGAGGCCAGCGCTGCAGCGGGAGCACGATTCGGAACGAGCGGGGCCCGAAAATGAGGCCGGCGCCTCAGCGAGAGCAGCATTTTGAAAAAAATGCAGGCGAAAACCCAACTCCCGGGAATCTTGTGTGCAAAAAACAGGACGCGGGGGGGGGGGCGGCACTCCCAGCCGCCATCAGGGGAAGAGGGAGAGTAGTACTCATATTGAGTAATTGTGGAGGGGGGGGGCTTCTCAGAAGCACCCTGACTCTTAGAGACGGCGCGGGCCTGATCGATAGATGGAAGGCCGCGCCTTCTAAGAAGCAGGCCTGCTTCTTGAGAAAGCCCTCCCCCCCTCTCCCCCACCCACCCCTTGCGCGCGCCAGCCAAACTGGTGGCAATGTTGGAGTATTTGTTGACTAGTTACCTGTTACCTCCCGTCCGAGATCCCTGACAGTCGGGTCCCTGAAGAAGGAACCCCTTTTCGTTGGGGAGGGGCTCCGTGTTCCTTAATTGTTTCACAGCTTGCCGCAGGTTTTCCTTATGTTTCCGATGGGAAATCGAAGTTCAACTTATGGTTAAAAGGGGCCCCGTTCCTTATTTAGGGTTCCTTCAGTCAACGCCCCGACTGGTAGTACCTATTGTCTCCCGTCCAAAAGGCCCCGGCAGGAGGACGGGCCCGCCTCAGGGCACAGGAAGCATGGCACTGGCAGCGTCGCTCGCTGGCCAGGCGAACCAGTTGGCTCAAAGAGGCACCTCCTCTTGGGGTTACTCCCGCGGCATTCCTGGGGGGCTGTGCCTGGGCCGCTCCTCCTCCTCCTCATCCTCCTCCTCCCTCCTCCTCCCTTCATCCTCCTCCCCCCCTTTTCCTCCTTTCTTCCCCCTCCTCTCCTCCTCTTCCTACTTCTTTCCTCATCCTCCCCTCCCTCCTCCACCTTTACCTCCCTCCTTTCTTCCTTTTTTTCCTTTTGCCTCCTTTTCCTCCTCCTCCTCCTTCTCCTCATCCTCCTTCTCTCCTCCTTTTCCTTCTCCTCCTCCTTTTTTGCTTCTCCTCCCCCTCTTCCCCTCGCTTCCTCCTTCTTCTCCTCCTCCTCCTCCTCCTCTCCTTGCTCCTCATCCTCTTCCTCGTCCTCCTGCGCCTCCCCTCTCCCGCAACCCTTCTCCTCACCCTTACCGTCGCCCTTACAGATAACTCTTCCCCCTGTCGCACCACCAGGCGCGTCCGTAGGCCGGGCCGTGCGTACGTTCTTGCAGTTTATTGCCCGACGATGCGGGAAGGCAAATTCGTTTTCAGAACGG